ACATCCATTAAATTCAAAATGAAGATTAGGAAGATCCACAAATGATGATGACCACTCTTTTTAGAACTTGTCTCTAAAAAAAACAATAATATCACGAGTATACATATTCATCACAATAATAATGATTATTCATCACAATAAAAGTTGATTAATTTCATAATATCTTGTGAAAAAGCTTCTTAAAATTTTCATAGATATAGTTTTGATTTTATATGTGTTTATAGTTAATTGATAAGTTAAAAATTTTACCAATAAGTTAACTATGTGTCACATATGTTGTTTAAATTATGATTGCCTCATCTACATATTATCATTCGTAGGTAGCACAAAAGTAAATGAAGCTTGATAGCATAATTATATGCCACATTTCTCAATTTTATAAAAAGATAATTTTTAGTTTTATAATCCACCATTCATTGGAATTACATAGGCATGTATGTTGGATTTAGGTTAAAGATAATCTTTAGCTAAAATATTTATATAAATTCTATTTTTTAAGCCAAATTGTTAAAAAAAACCTATAAATCTTCTTTATTCCTATTTTTCTATAAGAATTTTTATTTTATTTTTATACTTATTATATGTATGCTAAAATGCTTAAGTTATTGAAAATGAATTATCTACCTTAATTTAGAACCATGTACTCAATTGAAGTCAAAGTCTATTTTACTTGCATGATGGATTGTGTATTTATACCTATTATATATTTGATTGCTCATGAATAACTTGTGTTGTGCATGTATTGTGCAGGTGATTAAATGTGGTTATTTTAAATTTTTAGAATGTCTAATTAAGTTTATATTACTAGGTTTTGAAGGATTTCATGTAGCAATAATCTATTATACAAAAAATATTTATCTTAATCTACACAAGTGGATTTAGTATAATTGGCAATCAAATGTAAGACCATTGGATAAACTGGAACAAAGGAAGTTCTTGAAAAGGAATGATTTTTGACACAACATTTTTTGACATAACAAATTTTGAAAATAACATTATGAGATGACAATCCTGATATGTTTCAACTTTTATCAAAAAACAACCCAGACATGCAACTAATCTAAGAAATGATTGATTAAGTGTCACCTCTGTATTAGGACGCCAATTAATATGAAGAGATATTAATGGAAAGAGATCCCTCCTGTTTTTCTTTAAATATTTTGTTTGTTTCCTTTCTTGATTGTGCTGATTTTTAAAAGACATATGTGGATAGACACTCTTAAAGAAAGACACAAAAAGAAATATTACAGCACATTAGTTAAAAGATGCAAAGTTTATAAAATTTCTTGTCATATGTGTTGAGAACTCTTAATACTTCTTATACAGATTTTGTTCATAATATAGTTCTTAATTTACTTTTTGAAAAAGAGAAATATAATTATCATTTTATACTACAAAAAAAAAAAAAAAAAAAAAAAAAACAATAACAAACAAACTAACAAACAATAAAAAACAATAATCATGTTGAATGTGGCAGAAATAAAATGTGTATTAACAATTGAATTTTGAATATAGGAAACAGTTTTCTGTAATATCTTTAAATAAACCGAACACTGCAAAAAAAAAAAACAAAAAACAAAAAACAAAAAAACAAATTATATATATATATATATATATATATATATTAATATACAAGTAAATAATTGCCATGCAACCTATATCAATATTTACAATTGAATGACGAAAAGATAATAAAAAGTATGAATTGAAACTCAAATTCTAATGTAGTAAAATATTTAATAAATAAAGATAATAATTTTAAAATTTATAATATTTGAATAAAATACATATTTAGAAGGTATCCTAAAGACAAAAAAAACTACTTAACCAAATTTAATACCTTGCAACATATCGTATACCAGCAAAACAGTGGTTATTTGACAAATTATATTTAAATTTAATATGTTTATTTTTTTCAACATGTTATTGAATATAATATTTTTATGGTAAAATAGCAAAGATCATAGTACTTATTTAGGAGTTCTTATTATTCCATTCTATTTGCCACAAAATACAACATTATGATGGATAAAAAAACAAATAGACAAAAATATTCTTTACAAAGATATGATTTAATTTCTGAAGTACAAATTTTAATTTTTAAATTTTTAATTATAGTTTACAAAACATCAATTTAATACTGGTTTCAAATGGTTATTTTTCATTTACATATATACATATATATATATATCCTTTCATATTATAATATGAACATTATATATTAGATAAATATCAAATTGTTCAAATTATAATTAAACTCATACCTATAATATCTCAAGTTTAATAAAGAAGTATAAAATACTTTCGAAAAGTCTTATTTACAAGCAGCAAATACAAAAAGCTGCTAAAACCTGGTGTATTGTTTTGTTGTATGTTTTGTTGTATGATTATTTGGAGCTTTAATGTAGTATTAATTATTCATTTATGATATATATATATATATATATATATATATATAATTTTTTTAGAACTAAAACAATAATAATAAATTAAATTATTCACACATATTTTACAAATAATTATATTTGAATATTAAAAATTTACTAAATAGAATCATGTGCTAAAACATTACATAAATTAAAAATTTCTAAAGGATGCAAAAACTACCTGGAAGTTATTGTTGTTATGTCTTATATGTATATACCTAATTTTAGATGTAGCACAATGAACTTGTTTTATTGTTCAGAACTACTTCAATTAAGTTTCTAAAGATGGGTAGAGGCGGTTTTAAAGCTCCTCCTTAGTAGGACCATATAGATGTCTTAATAACGTATTGTATTTCTGATTTTGTGAACCATCAAAATATTTTTTAAATAGTTTTTAGAAAGATTTTAAAGCTCAAGTGCATAGCTTAAAGTATGTATAAATGTACTTATGTTGATTAGATATTAGTAAAGTGACTTGATAGTTTAACTTTCTATTTGTATATAATATTGCTTCTAAATTTTAAAAGTTTAATATTAGAGCTTGAAGATGTATGATAGCAACAGATTTCTTAAAAAATATTATACTTTAAAATTTAAAGGTAAGGACAATTTTAGATTAAGGAAGTGAGTGAGAAATCTGTTTAGAAATCAAAAATTGTACAAATTGTTTGAAAATTAGTTTTGAGACAAGATCAACAAAGAATAGAAAGAAATTGCCCTATTCATGTAAATAAAATTGAATTGAATCTTGTAAACTATGAATTACATAATATTAGAAATAAGTGTTTAACACCAAATGAATTGGTGAAACTTGAGAGTTTGTACATATCAAACTTAAGAACAAATCAATTATATGTAAAACAAAATTGGATACATTATGCATAAAAGAAAATATTATTGTAACAAACGACATATTTGAAGAAAGTCTACATCACAATCTAAATTTTGCTTAGTTTTGTATATATATAGTAAAACAATTACAAAATATATTAGAAAAAACAAAATATATATATATATATAAATGAAAAAAATTGAACAAAGGTAGGTTATAATCATTTAAATATAGAAATTTTGTTGATTTACTCAAAAGAAATTGCATGTGCCTTCAATATAATTACTAGAAGTGATAAATATACTCTTGATTTTTGATATTCTATTTAAATGACATTAAAGTACAGTGTAAAAAAGTAATCGAGATAATTTTAAAATATATATATATATATATATATATATATTTTAAAAACAACTTTTTGCATTAAAATCATACTATACAAAACTTTTAAACAATCTTTGGTTAAGCTATTAAATTTTGCATCAGTGGCTACCTATAAAATCATTGAAAAAGGTTAGAAACTGTTTGAGCATACCACTAACAAAGGTTCCACAATTTTACCATGACATTAAACCTTTCAAATTATTTGTTATTTACATCTATTTTGAAAAAAAAAAACGGGTTTACCCAGTCAGTTAATGATATATTTTATAACAATTATTATGAAAAAAAATAGAATAGAGATATATTTTAAAATATAGAATATGTTGGGGGCAGTAGGGAAAGAAAAAATTATACAAATGTTGGAGGAGCCTATTTGCACATTCCAAAAATACAACTCAATTGGGCATCTTTAGTCAGAAGTCTTTTTGAAAATTGTTGGTAAGAGGTTCAATAAAATGTAATTCCAGGTGGCAACTAACACTCATATACAATTCCTATATTTCAACAGACAATTATGTTTTTCAGTATTTAGTATTCCAAAAAGTTGACAAGTTTGTAAGCTTACAAGTTTTAATTTTTTATATGAAGTATATAACTGTTTAACAGATATAATATTTTTAAAAAATGCTTTTGACATTAACTGAAGGAATGAAGTGAAATATTTTTAATTAAAATTAATATGGACTCACTGACACGTTAATGTTTCATGATTGTTTCAACAGAAGTCCCCATGAAAAGGGGCAGCTGATAAGGAGAATGCATGGAGAATTGTTCTCAAAGAATAGAAACATCAACAAAAGTATTTTTCTTTGGAGGATGAATCAAGCACAGACCAAAGGAAAAAGTCGGGCCTTAATTTCCAAAGAATTTTAATGAGAGGAAGCAGGTCAGACTGGTGCATAGATTATCTCTAGTAATCTTGTATTGTTATTTGGAATTGCATTCTTTGGGGGTATCAAAGGAGGCTATATCCACTGTGGGTGGACACGACCATGCCATTTCTCGCATGCAAACTTGATTTCTGTATTTGTTACCCCTACTTTTCTGCCCACTCTAAATATTCTTAAAACATGTTTGCATACGAAAACAAGATAAGTGAATGCAACTGTAAATCGAAAATAATATGAACAATGTAACAATAACAATAATAATAAGATATAAGCGACGTTTTGTTGGAATCGAAGAGAATATACTCCGACGTTCCATCCAATCCCGAAACTATGGCAGGCGTTGTTTGTGTTGAGAGTCTGTCTCTCGCTTTGTTTGCACTAAGGGTCCCGCCTCCGGAGCTGCGGGTAATTTTTTCACCGGAGCTTTCCAAGATCGGAGGTATGTTTCGCAGCCTCGTCGCGAAAATCTGTTGAGGGAAATTCTGTGCGGAAGAATTTGCCAACTATGTTTGTTTCAGTACTTTAAGCGACAGAATTCATCTGAGAGGGAAGAGGATTGGTGGAGGAGGGAATAAGTATATTTCCACGTCTTCGCTGCAAGACAATTTTCTTAGGATGAGAGTAATGCTATAGCTGTTTTCATTTTAGAGATGTACCCGGTTAGGAGTGGTTGCTTCTTTAGGTTTGCTTGCGAAGACGTGCAGCTAGTTAATATTGGGTGAGCCTTATTTTTTGGTGTATGGTGTTTGTTTGCTTGTAGCATGACTTCCTTTTTCTGCCAATGGAGAATAGAGAGAATCGTGAGTTGTCACGTATCGCCTGGTTTTGGGAGACGTCAATTTGCATATTGGCACTGTGCTAGTTGCCAAAGCTCGTCGAGGGGATTGAAGACGCTGAGAATACAGAAGTGACCTAATTTTCTTGAACATTAGCGTCAGAGGTTGAGGCTTAATGAGCTTCGTTTGCATTTCGCCAAACTATGCACGGAAACGATGCAGACGAAATTTAGGTCCGTCCAATGTTCAGAATGATGATGCGCGACGATTATTCGTAACAGCAGCTGCATTTAAGTATTGAAACGAAACCTAGGTCTTCGTGTGTAGAGATATGTGACCTTGCATCTGCTGATTGGTAAGCCAAGAGCTTTATGCGCATTCCATGTTTCTGGCATAAGCAAGATTCTTAGATTTAGGTCTAGGGTTTGTTCTCCACATTTTAATCTTGTTTTTAGCTGGAATTGCATCTTTGCAGTGGCATGGATTTCACTCGAGAGAGGGGATAATGAAGAAGAAGTTGTGAAGGCCAGCACTGCATGAGCGACGATGAGGGCGCCTGATGCTGACGGTCACTTTATCAGGAACAGGAGCAGAAATAGGAACAGAAAGTGGCAGCTTTTATTGCTCCTACTGTTGGACGAGGAGGAGGAAAGGCAGCAACAGTGGGAAGATCGACAGCAGGCACTCGCTCATCTGCAATGGCAGCATCAGCATGCTCGCCGTCAAAAATGGTTGCAGAATTACTACAGTCAGTTGCAAGCTCTGTATGCTGATCTCGATGTCCTTGAAAGTTATCGGTTGCGCCGCGCTCATGTGGCAGCAGCTGCGTTAGGAGCTGCTGTGTCAACTCAACAAAGTGTGCACCGTCGATTGTGGGTGAAAAATAGGTCGCAAGCATGGTGGGCAAAGTGCAATCATCCCGATTTTCCAGACGAGGAATTCCATCGGTCGTTCCGTATGTCTCGCGCCACATTTAATATCATCTGTGATCAGCTCGCAGGAGCGGTTGCTAAGGAGAACACCATGCTCAGGGCAGCCATACCTGTGGAGCAGAGAGTGGCAGTATGCATCTGGCGGCTGGCTACAGGTGAACCTTTGCGACTTGTTTCAAAGCGCTTTGGACTTGGAATATCTACTTGTCACAAGATGGTGTTGGAGGTCTGCGCCGCAATCAATGATGTGCTTCTCCCCAAGTATGTACAATGGTCATCGGCTGAGCGTCTGCAGCAGGTGACGCAGGAATTTGAGGCCATGTCTGGGATGCGTGATGTGGTTGGGGCCCTTTACACGACGCATGTTCCAATTATTGCTCCAAAGATCAATGTGGCTGCTTATTTCAACAAACGGCATACCGAGCACAATCAGAAAACGTCGTACTCCATCACTTTGCAAGGAATGGTGGATGTACGCGGATCATTCACAGATGTATCCATAGGATGGCCAGGGTCTATGTCTGATGAACGCGTGTTTGAAAAATCAACTTTGTATAGACGAGGATTGAGCGAAGACCTTCGTGGAATGTGGGTAGTGGGAGGACCAGGGTATCCGCTACTTGATTGGCTGCTGGTTCCATATGTCCAACACAACCTAACCTGGGCGCAACATGCGTTCAACGAAAAGGTAGCGGAGTTGCTGCAAGTTGCCCGAAGTGCCTTCAGCCGTCTGAAAGGGCGCTGGAAGTTCTTGCAGCGGAGGACTGAGGTGAAGTTGCAAGAGCTTCCTGCTGTCCTGGGTGCATGCTGTGTGCTTCACAATATATGTGAGATGCATAACGAAGGATTTGACCCTGAACTTCACTTTGAGGTTGTCGATGATGAGATGTTGCCGGAGAATATCAATTTCCCAATTACAGCTATGCAAGCTCGGGACGCAATTGCTCATAACTTGCTTCACAACGTTCATGCAGGTTCTTTTTTGTGACATGTAGATTGTAGGGGCATTTTATACGGCTGGATATAGCGTCCAAGTATGGCACCATTAAATTATCTGTAATTTACTCTCAAGGTTTTTAATCATGAGGACGATGGCTCTAGGACAGTAATTCTATCTGTAGTGATGGTTTTCCATTTTCTTCCATTTTCTTTCTAGTATAGATTGTTGGTATCTAGTTGCATGTTTTTGCCAACAATAGAAATCGGCGTATCAGTTGTCGAAACGCTATTCTTTGAGTAACAATTGTACTCATACATGTTATGCATTTGTACTTCCCCAGTGCACAGCTTTGTGAATCGGCGTTGAAGCTGCCGTGTTTCCACTATTGCTTGTCGGCTGTTATACACGTACATTTATCAACAGATTCTCCTTCACTAGCGAGGTGAAGGATAGAGTTGTAGGTCTGATTTCTTTCAAACCTGGACGTTGGATTCACATACCTTACAGGTTGAAACATGAAGTTCTGAGAAATATAGAGTTTTTAAAACTTACCAGGGCACTCTACTGCTATGATGTCGCATTAAACTAGGGACTGTATACTCATTTTTCAGAAGTAAAATCCTACTGCAGAATCTACTTGCTCTTCATGAAGAGCACGCCTTCGTTCGTCATCCCTTGCAGTAATCTGTTTCTGCATCACGAACCCACACCCATCATCACGTATCAATAGGTCGACAGTTTGTCCTTGCGACCGTGTTGATCATGTGTGACTGTTCACTGTTCACTGATCCACTTCCATGACTGATGTCGACTGGGAAGGCTTTTGAGTTGGATTGGAATTAGTGAAGTCAAGTAGAAGATGCTGCGTTATTGGAAGTTTATCCTCCTTGCTTCTTTCTTACCGCGAAGAACTAGATTTGTTCGATAATCTCTATGCTCGAGGGTCCAGCCGCTTTCAATCTAAATCACTCAGAAATAGAAAATTTCATGTATTTTTGTGGAAAATATTCACCGTTTGGTTGAAACACAAGTGCAACTTTTTTTTTTTTTTCCCCTCTGTGAATGGAGTAATAAATTCCTCGGCACGACGTTAAAGCACGTAATATCAGTGTAGTATTCAGCATTTATGAAGAAATGCATTTTTGAAGGCAAATATTCTAATTCAAGGGTACGCCTTTCATTTTCCCAAGACACAATGGAATATATTTTCCAGCCGTATTTAAAGAGTATGAGTATTTAAAGAGTTTCATGCATGGCATAAAATCCTGAAACGTGGAAAACGGAGATGGATGCGAAAAAATGATGTGAAATCCAATTAAAAGAGGCAATACTAATCTACTCACATTTTTCTCCACAAAATTCTAAATCCTTTGGGGATGTTATCAGGGACCCACAGGACACGGCATATTCGATCCTTGAAACCTATAGTTGGCCCAGTAGATAGATGTTTCGAAATCTATACAACGGTTTCAAATCTCCCTCGTAATCTCAATGCAACCAACAAGACATGCTATAAGCATGACAGAATGTCTTTGCCCAATGGCAACACGCATCTTCTAAAATTGGCTGGAACAGTGAAACCGTCTTCTAGCGAAGGTTCAAAGCACTGGGTTGAGGATTTACTAGTAAGTTACCACTTTCCCCGCCCAATTCAACAGTTCCAGCATCATCGGTGGGATGTATAATGATACTCATGGCTCGTCGTTGGACACCGCTGCTGAGCCCCAGCCAATTTAAACTTCCAACTGCTCCACAGTTGCTCTTGTCCGTTCTACCCTCCATCAAAGCGCTTTTTTCCATTCATCGAAGCTTCCGTGGTCTCCCTCCACCGCGCTTCTCGGCATTTCAAATTTTGTCTTTCCGCAACGGCATGGAACCATTCTCCCTCGCGAGGACTTTTTCTCGCTCTAGTCCCGCTTTGGTCTTAGTCCAGGCCATCGCGTCTCGTGGTTCTATTTTGCTCTACTTTTGTGATGTCGTAGCTAGCCAGCTGCAGTTCGATCGCAGTTGATCACACTCGTGTTAGCGAAACTGCTGGAAGCCCGGTTATTGCGAGTGTTCCCGATTAGTTCTATAGGAGCTTGTATCAATAATGCTTACTGGTGGAGTGTACTGTGAACCAGTAAGGAAGAGTTCCTGGAGTTGAACTACTCGTTCTCTCGTTTTTGAGTTTAGAAGTATTCGTTTCGCAAGCAGTGGCAGCAGGTTCCTTTCAACGTTTGGATCAACTTCTCGATTTCCAGAAAGAGGAAGATACACGTTGTAGCAGTGCTGTGAAACCGAGGTTTCGTGGCGTGCTCCCGCGCTAGATATCATGGCTCAACGCCGTATTTCTACATGAATCTCAAATGTTACTAGTCCTTTTGATATGTGATAGAGGGGTAGAGGCTAAGTTCAACTCTTTTCTCTCTTGGAAAACTCTCCGTGATTTTATACATTTTCATAGTGCGCTCTGTGTAGTTGAAAGTCTACTGCGTCCTCTCCTTAATTTCACCCTCTGAAGTTTCGGCAATGCTGGACTTCGCGCACTCCGACCTCATTTTACTGCGAAGCTCCCTTGTATTGAACTTGTACTCAAACCTTAAACTGGGCTGATAAATGATGCATGCAGGTGTTTGGGTTAGAGAATGCACTAAAAACATGGTGTCATCGTAGATAATGAAATTGGTAGAGCTAAAGCCTTGTCATCCGAAGTTGTGAAGTTTTCTTTCCTGTCGAGGACTTAAAGATGGGAGAGTTCGCGATGCCTCAAGTCACTTTGGAGTTCGCTTTGACCCAGCCTGCAGCTATTGTGGAATACTGCAAGCAGCTTATGGATTCTGTGAAGATGTTAGAAAGGCAGGTGCAGGGATTGGTCAGAGATGATCGTGCTAGTAAGTCAGCTGAAAAGAATCGCAAGGAGAAGCAGTGGCAGTTGGAAAGAGAGAGACTCCTTTTTGACTTGGAAGTTGCTAACCATGGGCTCGTGGAAAAGGAAGAATCCTTGAACAAACTTGAGAAGGACTTCCAGATCGCCAAATCAGCTGCTGGACAGCTGCAGAACAAGCTTCATGAATCAGAGAGAAAGAGGGAGAGGGATTTACTTGAGAACGATCGACTGAAGGGTGCTATTGAGGATGCTCAACGTACCATTGATGAGTTACAGAAAAGCTGCAGTCTCAAAGATGAGGCGGCAGCGATACAACGAAAGGCTTTCAGTGATTTGTCGAAAAGGATGGACTCTCATAAGAAGGAGCTCGAGGTAAAGTTCTCCAGACCCGTCAGACTTACCGTCCTTAAACACGATTCCTCTGGCTCTTAGGGTTCTTAAAAACCCCGGAACGTAAGTGTGTGGGCCCGAATTAGATTGTTCCGCTTTTCTGGAGTGAGATGCAACTAAACACTGCTTATGTGGTCTTCTGTCGCATCCTTTCGTTCAGCAGAAGATAATTTCGCAAATGAGAAGCTTTGTTTTCTTTGATCACTGTCAGGCTTGGATTAGGGGATTTCATTTTGATGAGTGGAGTCTGTCACGGAATGTCGATGGTTTTGAGCCATGTCAACCATCTGAGAATCGCTTCACATTTGCTACAAGATTGCTACAAGTACTCTCAAGTTAGACTGTATTCTAAACTGCTAGGGATGCATTATGTTCAGATGTGAACTGCATTGATGAGGTTGGTGTAACCGTTCCTCGTGTATTGTTGTGGTGCTGCTACATTTGCAGCAGCTGTTTAATACCTTGACTCAGTGTCCCATGGCTTCCAAGTGTCTGTCTGAGCCCCGCTAATTTGCTATCATCATCTCGTTCAGAAAACTTCGGAGGAGTTAGGGCAGAAAGAGGGGCAACTTGCGGACTTGAAACTTGAGAATGAAAGTACGAGAAAAAAGTTGGAGGAGAAAAATAATTTTTTTGACTCGCTCAAGCAAGATTACGACAAGCTTCGCCTAGCTCACCAAGGTATGCAGAGTGAAGGGATGATGGATCGAGAAGATGTTCTAAGAAATCTTGAGGAGAATGAGGCCCTTTGTGAAGAACAAGCTTGCACGATAAGAAAGTTGGAGAAAGAGCTGAGAAAGATGAAAAGCCAAGCCAAACAGATGGAGACAAAGTGCTCATCAGCTGAAGCGGAAGTAAATGCTAAAACCGCACTGCTATCTAAGGTACTTACAGTTTCTGATGTACCTGACCATTACCAGGATGTCTAGATAACGGGTTCTTTGATCATCTCAACAGTCTCTCATTGGTAGTCTGACGTTGGTATGATGGTTGACATGTGGATTTCTGAAAATCTACGCTTGCTCATGGCCTTCCAATATTCCATACCGAATGCGTCATCACGAGGCAGTACTCACTGTTTAGAACTTCAGAATTGCGCACTTGTCATGATCCGTGCTGAAAAAAGCGAAAGGTAATGGTTGTTTCATGTCACCAGTAGCTTGTGATGGCATGAACTAAGTAGCGCTCTGTGTCAGTTCGACGCACTAGTCACTGCACCCTAAATTTGGTGTTGAAACTTAGGTAGTTAAGCGACGGATAACTATTGCCCGTTACCAACAGCAATCGGACTAGCTGCCTTTTAGCATGCGGACCAGCAAATTTTCTTTAGCCGCCTTTTTGCAAACTTTTTAACAATTTTTCACTTCCTTTCCACGACGCATTCCAGGCACTTGCCGACCTGGAGGCCTCCAGTTTGAGCGTGACCGAGCTGGCTTCGGCGAAGGAGGCAGCTGTAGTTCTTGCGGAGAAGATGATGGAGTTTGAAAAAGAGCTTATTCAAGAGAGAGCACTAAGAGATTCGGCCGAACGTGCCCTTCAAGATTTTAAGATCCGGGAATCACACTTGCTTAGAGTGGAGGAAAATTTTAATGATCTTCTAGAGAAGGCCAAGTGGAAGGATGAGCAATTTGGGTCATTGGAAGAAGCACACCGAAAATTGCAAATCCAGTTGAAGGTAAGCGAGAGCGAGTGGGATAATGAGAGGGCACAGATGGTAAGAGAAATTGATTCCCTGCGTGATGGATTGGAGGCCAAGGCCAAGCTTGCCCAGCATCTCAACTCACAGCTGGATATGCTGCAACAAGCCCTTGATCATGAACACCTCCACCAGACGGATTTGGAGCGAGGGATGGCTGATGCGAAAGCTAGTATGAATTTGGCCGAGAGGGAATTTGAAAAGGCCAGGTTGGCATTTGACATTGTGCGAGAAGAGCTTGCTGCCAAAGCAACTCTTCTGGATGAATATGCTGCTAGAATGGAATGGGAGCCGACAGGGTTAGGATCCTGGCAGAAGGACACAGTGCAAGATGATGGTACATTGGAGTGCTTGCATTCTGACTCTCGAGGTGCAAGGACATCTATGGAGCTGCAAGAGCCTCTGAATGAATCACCCGATGTACAGAAGAACCCAGATTCAACTGAATTGGCGACGAAATTTAACAAAACTGAAATAGCCTGGGATGAAGAGAAAGAACGGGTTCATAGATTTGTGCGTGACGTGGAGACATGCTTGGCATGCAAGGGTGTCAGACTCATAGAGCTTGGAGTTGAAGTCGGCGAATCGAGGTCTTTGGTTAACGCTCTAAGTGATCTGGAAGCTAAGTCCTGTGTATCAGGTTTGAATAAGTTGAACATTAGTAACTCCAAAAATCCTGGTGAGAGTTTGGAGGTTGAAGATACAGTGCTCCGTTCTTTGACGGACAAGCGTCGGGAAATTTATGTGCCACCCCAGATTGAACAGGTCAACCAGAACCAAGAGGTTTTGGTTGCACAGGAGGCCAGCATGCTCGAAATTAAAAGGTTGAAGGAGCAGGTCTCAGAAATGGTTGACCTTCATGCGCAGAAACAAAACTTGATAAAACAAAGAGATCTAGACCTGAAAAAATTGCAGGCTGCCCATGACAAGGCGTTGGCGCAATTCCGATTAAATGAAAAAACTTTGCATGACGAGAAAGACAAACTTATCTCCGAGCTCGATGCCTACGAGTTTAAGGAACTCGAGAATGAGAGGCAGAAAAAGGAAACTCAGACTAACGTGGAGAGACTCGAGGGTGTCATAAGCAAGCTTGAAGCACAGATTTCGTCAATGAAGAAGGACATTGTTGACCAAAGCTTGCTTGCGGAGCTTGCGAAAGATCACCTGTCGACTGAAATATTAGAAGTGGAGAGACTGAAGGCGGAGTCCCACTTGCTGAGTGAGACATTCGCAGCTTCCATGGCTGCCAAGGATGCGACCCTAGAGCAACTCCGACAACATGTGCTGGAATTAGATGATATTTGTGCTGGGCTTAAAGAAGCAGTCAACCGAGAGACCTCACAATCTAAATCCTTAGAGGGACAGCTGAAGATGAAGCAAGAGCTTCAACGCGTTCTGGAACATCGCATCTGTGATTTGAATATAGAGTTGGATAAATCTACAAAGGAGACCGAAAGGTTATCTCAAGTCGAGCTTCTCTTGCTAAATAGGATCCATCAGCTGGAAGACGAGTCCGAGCTCAATAAAGGCGCATGCGAGGGGCAACTAGAGAGCTTGAATGCTCAGCTCTCACGATGTCAGGACAATCTCCACGAGGTTCGCTTTGTGCTTCATTTCCCAGCCCCCGTGAATCACTTTAGTTATTTTGTCCTGCAGTGAACTGTAACGACCTTTGGTCTAGATTTTTCATTAATTTCCCTGGTCGTGCACAATTTGCTAAAGTATTCTGCCTGTAGGTTGCGGAGGAGCTGGAACGTATGAGTACCGAGAGAGACGCCCTCTTGAGCAATTTAAGCTCCATGGAAGCAGAGAAAGCAGAACTTAGAGAGGAGAACCAAGCACTTCTCAGAGACAAGTTGCTTCTCCAAAGCACTTTGAATCTATTTGAGGCTAAGCAGCTGGAGTTAATTAAAGAGTTAGAGGTCAGTGAAACCACTATGGCAAAGCTGTGTGCAACTCATGAAGAAGCTGAAGCTGGTCTCGCTTCTAAGAGTGAGGAGTTGCAGGAGATGAACTGGAAATTGAGCAATGTGGAAACGTTGAAGTTACATCTGCAAATAGCTCAGGAAAAGAATCAAGAAATGGAGGAGATACTAAGTGAGACCAGAGCAACTGTGGAAGAGAAGGAGGAGCGCCTAGCAGCTTCGGAATGGGCTGTGCAGCAATTGGCATCTGAGATTGCTAAAGCTAAGCACAGCTTGAAGCAGAAGGAGCGTGAGGAATCTTTTCTGCAAGCACGTCTCTCTGACTTGGAAATACATTTGAGAGACAAGGAGAGAGAGATGGAAGAGATGGAAATGTACTTAAATGCTATAATGCAGTCAAATGAAGAGAAGCAGGCAGACATTGACACCCTGACTCTTAAGATGCGAGACCTGAAGAAAGGGGCTGATGAGTGGAAGCTCAGGGAGATTGATCTAGAGACAGAATTGTACGATCTCCGAAATTCTTTAGAAGAGAGCGAAGAAGCCTTGGAAAAGATTAAGGCCGAAGTGCAACTTGGCTTGCAAGAGCGCAAGAGCATGGAGGATGCTATCGACAGCTTGAAAAAGCAACTGTCTGATAAGGGATTGGGATGCTCCGACAGACAATTTGAGATGGACCAATTGTGCCACGATCTGGAGAGTGCCCAAGAAGCCGCAACCCAGAGTAGCTCTCAGTTGCAAGATCTTCAGCAGAGACTTCCACAGCTGGAACAAAGCTGTGCAGACCGCATACGGAAAGAGAAATCCGAGTTTGATGAAGTTGTACAAGAACTCCAGATTATCCAAATTAAGCTTCAGAGTTGTGAAGTGAATTTGGAATCCACCCGGGCTGACCTCAGTCAGTATAAAGAGAAATGCGATAGTCTAGTCGAGGCTGTGGTAGAAAAGGACAGCATTATCGAAGATTTGAAAGGAATGCTTGCAAGTGCACGATACGATTCGGCGCATCAAACCACGTTGGTTCAACAAGCTTCTAGAGAACGATTACGAGCGCTTAAGGATTTAGATAATAAAACTGAGATCCTAAAGAAGCTGGAGGTGTCCGCGGCCAAGACGGACAGCACCCTTGGAAATATGGAACTAAACAAGGAGAAGCTGGAGCAAGAGGTGAAACGACTGAAGAAGTCGCTCGAAAATTTAAGAAAAGAATCTGCCTCTAATGCGCACGAAGCTGAGCGATTCAAGTGCAAAGTCGAGGAACTGCAGGAAATCACTGATCAGTACAGTGATGCCCAGGTGTTAATCTCTCAGCTCACTAATGAGCTGCAGGTGACCTCCAGTACGGTTGAAGAGCGTGACTCCCGACTGTTGAAGCTTCAAGCGTCCCTGACTTCTCTCCAAGATGAATTACGGATGACGCAGGACATGCTAGCTGAAAAGGAATGTCACAGAGAGCATCTAGACGTCCAGTTGACCATGATGAAGAGTCAAATGGAAAAGAACGAGGCAGAGATTCTACAGATGCAGGACGCTTTGAAACTGGCCGAAAGTGAGCTGCAGACGGCAGGAGATAGTGTCCTGCGATACGTTCAAGACTTACAGAATCTCCAAGCAGCGTTGGATGTCTCACAAGCTCAAGTTGCATCTCTAAGTGAAGAGGGATTCAAAAGAAAACTAGAGACTGAATCTTCTATAAAGGAACTGCAACTTGAGTTATCGGTTTGGGTGGAAAGGGCGGAAAATTTGACTACTAAGAATATGAAACTTGATAGCGCCATGCAGAAGTTGCAATGTGAGCTTGAAAGATGGAGGGAATCGGCAGATGTCGCAGCCTGTGAGGGCAGAACGGCAAGGGAACAGATCGGAACGGCAGTCAATGGGTTATATAAAGAACTAGAAGATTTTTGTCAGCATTTAGTAATTGTCGAAGGAGAAGGTATTGACAAATTCGCGGAGCTGGAGGCCAGACTACAAATAGCGTTTGAGGAATTGAAGAGTCTACATATGAGCACAGAAGTCGCCAGTGCCAAAAAAGTTGAGCTTCTTAGCTCCACAATAAAATTGTTGTTTGTGGGCCTTAGAGGATGGAGGAATGAATTACGCAGCTCAGTTGAGAACGACCAGCTGGCGAGGAAGGAACTCTATATCTCCATTTCAGATTTGAAATTAGAAGTGGAGCTTTGGAAGTCAAGAGCTACAGCCGCCGAGGATGCAGTGGAGGGCGTACGAGTCGAGTTTGTAGATTTGTTGAAAGAGTTGCAGAAGGAGGTGGACCTCTGGAAAAGTAGAACTGAGCATTGCAACACATCGAAGTTAGATCTTGAGCGCTCTGTGGAATGTCTTCAGCGTGAGCTTGCAGAGTGGAAAGCTAAAACTGTTGCTGCAGTTGATGAAGAGAGGCGTGTCAAGATGACCCACGAGGCAAATTTGGTGGAACTTCAACAGGAGTTGGAGGTTTGGAAGGGGAAATGTGATTCTGTAGTGGAAGTGCTAAATCATCAGAAACTTGTGTATGCAACGTCACTGAACGATATACAAACTGAGCTGAAAGACTGGATGAACAAGGCATCAACAGCAAATCTAGAGGCGGACAAGTCAGCTACGGAAGTTAAACTGTATCAAGGAAAAGCTTCAGCGGTTGCTGATGAGATGAAACAGGTGCAGTCGCAGCTTCAGCAAGCTCTTAGTGCTGTTGTAGACCTCAAATTGCAACTTGAGCATGAGAAGAACAAAGTTACTACGACAGAGATGGTAACCCAGCAGTTGCAGCATGATCTTACGATAGCTCAGGAGGAGGCTACCTCCAGAAAAGCTAAGATGTCGCACATCCTCTCTCAACTTGAAAGCGCTCACGCTAGTCAAAAGAGTCTTCAGAAACTCTTGAGAATGCAACACGAGCGTCTCCTGCAGGATAATGACCTTGCAAGTTCAAATGGGGCATGTTCAGAGGTGAATCACAGAGATATAGCATCTACACTGCAGGATCTCTCGCTGAAGGACATGGTAATCCAAGATCTGCGGTCTAAACTCTCAGTGTCCAAGTCGGCGATTACTCGACTAGAATCCGAAAGGCTCGGCAGTGAAACAGTGACTCAATCTGCGGAGTTACTGCACACACAAGATCAGCAATCAAATTCTGGAGCGGGAAAGACACATTTCAGGTTCGATAATGGAACTCCTGCAAATTTTGAAGTACTATATCGTAGTGAAGAAATATTAGCATCATCCTGTTAAAACAGTCCCGCACTGATAAACGTCCTCGTTGCCCTACAACAGTGCTATTCTACGAAATCTGCCCTACTTGCTTGTGTTCGCGTGGGTTACAATCTAATTATTTTAAAATCCTTCGTCTCTGGAGTATCTAGATCATTTTGAAGTTCCAATCCTGAAATTTACATACTTCGTCTTTTCGTCGTCCAAGTTGTCCAAGCAATTTTGTTTATCATTTTTTCTCTGACATTCATGCATGGTCTTGCACAGGATGGGTTTCGGAGATGTTCAGCTGGCACACTTGCATACTTCAGGATCCCATTCGCACAGAGCTGGGAATTCAACTTTGCTGTCATCAAACCACAGCCCCAAGGCCCCGACGACCAGGAGGCGCAATGTATCTCCACGAGTGCATGTCAGCAAATCTGCCTCACGCATATCTTTTACCGATTCATCTAGCTGTAATGTTTTGAGCGAAGCTAACGAGAACTCCCTCGCCTATGGTCCTCGCAGCTTTGCCCCCCTTACAACTTCGAGGAAATCTAGAGATAATCAGTCAACCCCGTTCATGGGTTCGCTGCTTTGATTTGGATTACGAGCAGCCTCATACAATTGTAACCTTGAACTCCAGGATTAATCTCCTATTATGCAGGAGAGAATCTGAGTTGTACAGCCATTGTTGATGAGGGGACCTTTTGGAACACCTAAAGCGAACAAATGGTAGTGTTTCGTGAACCTGCCGACCACCATAGCTGTTCACTTACTGCCTAGTGTAAATATGTTGTGTCCTCGTCGGACTGTAAGGATTCCGCCAATCAATTAGATGAGAGTAGCTGACTGCCACAGCTGTTGTGATGGCTTTTGTGAGCAGCGTGGCATAATCTTCCGTTTGGTATCTCCTTGTAGCTGATTGAATTAAGTTATTCCAGCTGGTGCCAACCAACTTGGTCATAGTCGCCAATCTGGTGTGTTAATTGAAGTTGACTGAGTTGCTACCTTGCGCTGAATGTCATCTTTATTGTTTAGGTTCACCTGCTCCGCAGGACAGTTGATCTTGGTCTGATAAGTTATTGAGCAGGGATTGGATCGGTCAGTATCATCCCCCTTGTACATGTTCTCTACCTCTCGTTTTCGTTCTACTTCGTATCTGACGCTTCTGACTGCTCCAAATTATGGCCCTCTGTAACAGGTGCATTTATTATCTGTTTATCAGAGTTTTAAACGTTTTAAACATCCTTTGAATGTCTTCATAAATTAATTACAGTCTCTCCTGCAATTTTTTAACAGGTTCATACTTGTGAGGCTTCTTGATACTCGTTTACACAATACAGAATACGTTTCAAGCATGCGTTTGCTAGGGTTTCAAGAAAATATGTCAGACCGGAATATTTTACATCAACATTGCTAGTGCAGATCCACAACCTTAGGAAAATTTCAAACATGTTTGCAGCATCAAAACTCACTCAACCCTTGTCTTCTCTTTTGAATCCCTTCCTCCCTATTCTCAATTCTTGTCCCTTGTTCTGATACTTTATCATTGTGAATGGTAACAAGAATCTCAAACAAAGATGTTTTTTTACAAAATTGTATTGTAACTAAAATGTTGTTGATGTTGCATTGAAATCTTTTAATTGCAATTAAAAGATAATATATCTTGTTTTATTATAACCATTTTTAAATGATAGTTTATGTTTATTTCCAAAACATGTGCTTTTCTACATTGACATAAGTTGTATTCTATGATTTTTTATTTTTTTAGAAAGATGTTATTAGTTTTTTATATTATTATAATTTACTGATTTTCCAAATGTTTAATCAAATCAACCAAAATAATATGTACTCTAATACAATTAGGGGTGGATCTCTAACATGTCAAACAAAAAAAACTCGAGACTTTATTGATGATTTCAGGCACAATATATGTCAGGCATCCAAAAACTAGCATTACACTGCCTTGTATTTTAAGAAAGAAGTTCCCAAATAAATGAATAAAGACTTGATTACACTCATGTTTAATTATCATCTTTTTTCATGTTATTGTCATAAACCGTAAATACAATTTTGGTAACCAAATACTTAATCTCTACCCCACTTGCTAATTACGCTAGATTCAGCAGGCCCGGGCCCATCACTAATAGGTCCTGCAAGTGCAGGTTCTCTACTGGGAGAACTAGACCCATTCGCCTTAAATCCACGCAAAACAAATAAAGCCGAGTTCACAGACACTGCCAGCATCCTTTTCCCTTGTGTCAACACCAAGTACTGCACCCAACAGAAAAATTTAAAATTAAAATTAAATTAAATTAAAATAAAAACATCTCAAATGTGATTAAACCCCTGTACACAACATACAATATCAACTCTAAGGTCTAGCAACGGAATCACTAACAAGAGATGAAGCAACATCATAATGAATGAACAATCGTAAAAGAGAAAATTTGAGAGGCATCTGCTCGTGGTTCCAAAACTTACAAGGGCTGCCAATCCCAGAAAAGCCATCACCATTTGCTTCGCATCGTCCCAGGTATTGCTATTGAGTGGTGGCAGTCCACCCTCACTAGAATCACCACCACTCCCACCTCCGCCACCACCTCCTCCTCCTTTGCCCCAACCTCTTCCTTTTCCTCCATCTCCACCGCCACTCTCTTGCCTCTTCTTTATCTCTTCGTCCCACTTACTGAAATCACCTTTCTTCTCTCCAAGGGCAGATTCTAGCGCTTTCTTTGCCGCATCCTGGCATTGTCATGTTTATTTAGATGTCATGTACATTTTGATGAGATCCCCAGAGTAGCAGTAGTATGTCTTATGCAGGTATGTCGCGAGTGGCCCATTAAGACAGACGTCAAGGCTGTGAATAAAATTACATACATGAATATTGAATATCTAACCTAAATGCTATGAAAATCGGACGTGGGGAGTTCTGTGGCTATCGAAAGCATTTATAACCGCAGGATAGAATTTGAAGTAGTAGAGGAGATCAACAGTTAAATACTACGCCACACTCTCTCTAGTAAAACAGGTGAGACATACAATCATGTGCGCTCAATAAGCTCACCCGGCAGCTTCTCATATTCGAACACTACCGACGGTCAAGATACCCTTCGCAATTGACCCAAAAACATTTCCATGAGAAAATATGTTTTTCAGCTTTCCTGATAACTTACCACTCATCGAGGCAATGCATTACTATCAAGAAGAGCCAAATAAGCACTAAACCTGCCAGGCTAAACGCCACACCCCACTTCAAAATTTGACCTCAAAACAAAACAAAAACAAAAGTGACTGGCACGTCAATGCAATCCAAAATTCACGTACCCGCTTGTTACCACCCAGAAGGCACACAACCCTAGCTCGCGACGAGCATGCTTGCCGACACCGCTCCCATTGCTGGGCCTCCCTACACACGACTACTGCTCCTAAGAACTGCGCCCTCAATTCTCCATAGTGTCCCTTGTTCGAAACGTCGCAGCATGAGCCTCTCGCGGTTGCGGATTTCCACAAGGTGGTAACGGGCGTTGCCAACGCCATTGACGCCAACGCTGCGAATCAAGAGCGAAGCTGGGGCAGGAGGTCTACAACAACTTGGAGACAGGGAGCATGCAGACGAAGCCCACCCTAAAACCTCCCATGTGCACTTTCGTTGAGCCCTAGAGGATTGAACATGACTATTGTTATTCTCAGCCCCATCGTCACGGTGATGTGGGTTTCCATGGACGATTACCATGGGTTGTTTTTTCTGTCTCGTTTATCAGCATCCGGTCCGCAGCTTGAATCCTTCGCGCATCGCGAAAATTCATGTGTGGTAGGACGCCGTGGGATTCCCCACCGGCACCGACGTCCCGGTCTCCCGGTACATTCTTCCCTCGGATGGTTTGGGTTTACGAAAAATAGTGTCTTATCTATGGATGAAAACGTTCGTCGTTTGGTATTGGATTTACGAATAATTGTTTGTATTTCATCCATTTGTTGTACACTTGGACCATTTGCAATTTTAAAATTTAATGAATGAAGGAAAGCGAGTACCACCAACCACATTTATTTAGGTAGTAAAGAATCATTGTCATTGGGCTTGAGGCTCAATTTAAACCCCTGCAGTCAGCATTTTCAAGTCAAGCAATATGTTTGTAAGTTAAATATTGGTAGTGAGTGCCTTTGGGCCCATGCTTTTGCTGCAGAGACAAAATTTAGGATAAACATCTATTTTTTTGTTGTTTAAATAGAATTTCCACTTCTGCAGCATTCTACCTTTTTTTTAATACAATACATGTGGAGGTTTAGTACATGCATATTTAGTCTTTTTGTATTGATATTGTTCTCAAAGGGTCATAGGGAGAAATATATTGAACTTGTGGGTTGATATTGCACCCAAAAGGTCATACTATGGACAATCAAACTTTTTGTGAACATTGTGCCCAAAGGGTCATGGTAAAACAAAAAGACAAGCACTTAGCACTATATCTAAAATAAATATATATATATATATATTAAAACATCTAAATTTAAGAATTTACATCTGTACAAAAACATATAATTTTAGTATTTAGTTTGACAAAAAGAAATCAATACAACATGACATATCTTTAGAACTAATCACTTTAGTTTATTTTGACTTTCAGATATTTGAAAGTTTGTAATATAATAAAATTGCATTCAAAACCAACCACATCAACAACAAACGCTTGAAAATAAACAGTTCCATTCACATTCAAACAAAGAGTTGGAGAACAACGACGCAGCAAGCAAAACATCCTCCAACGCCAAAAAAAGGAATACAATACCCAAGTGAAGAAACACAAGAAATACTCTCCCCATCAAAACACAGCCATGAAAAAGGAGCACAAAGAGGCACAAGCAAGCAAGCAATGACCAGGAACTGAAGCATAAACACACCCCTTCCAGACATGGATTCCACACATTTGTTTGTTTGTATTGTTTGGGGGGAGGGAGAGAGCGACAATGCACCATAACACATTCCTTACATGGCTGTGGTGATGAGTCCACCATGCCAACAATTCCCACGACAATGAAGATTAAGAGAAGGGGGGGGGGAGGGCAGCCGAGAAGGATGAACATGTTAGTGATGATAAAAATAAAAATAAAAATAAAAAACAATACTAATAATATTAATACTAAGAAGAAGAAGAAGAAGAATCAGGAAGAGGCGGGGAGGGAGGGAGGGGCGAGGTGAGGCGAGGTGAGGCGAGATGCTGATTCCATCGCGGCGTCGGGACACCTGTTTCAACATTCCCGTCGTCTTCGTCCTCGTCGTCGTCGTCTATGAAACGGATCGGCTGCGAAGGAGCGTACCTTCGTGTAAGAGGAGAAAGTGGGGAAGCAGGAGCAACAGCAGCGGAAGCAGGGAGACAAGCGAGAGAGAGAGAGGGGGAAGTGATTGCAAAAGCGGGAGAAGGGAGAAAGTGGACTCACTTCCACTAGGGTACCCCACATATCCTTCGAGTTCTCTGCCCTAACTGGACCACCACCTCGGAGCCAACGCTGCTGGGAAATGTGGATGCAACCCGACGCCCAAGTCTTGTGGCGGTATCGCTTGCTTTGTGGATGATGTTGGTAGCAGCAACAGTATCAGCAGGGGCAGCAGTATCAGCAGCAGCAGCAGCGCCATAGCTACAGTTACAGCCGCGGCGACGCCAGCAGAAGCTGTTCCATTTTTGTTCCTGGTGTAGAGCATTGCGCTCGTTCCCCTCACCTTGTGTTGTGTTGTGCCGTGCGGTGCGACTCAGCCTGCGCAAGCCTTAGTGCGCTTCCGACTGGTTCGCACGCGAGTGTTGTGATTGCGGGGGCAGGAGCGGCTCCTAGGGGGGTAGTACGGTACGTGGTGCTGGTGCCTCTGGCCATACCTTGCTTGCCTTCTTTGTTGGAAATTTTGTTAACGTCGGTCAATTTTGGGATGGGGAGTGAAGAATGGGGGTTCGTGTGTGCGCGGTTAGTGCGTGACTAGCCTTCGCAAGGGTAATTTTGTCGACGGGGTGGTTGGGTGGGTTGCTATGTATTTCCATTGCTTCTGATTGCTACGAGCTTTGTTTGCTGGTCAGTCCGAGCCTCCTATGTGCAGTGGTGTTTGTGCTCCCTCGTGGGGTGACTTTGTATCGTGCCTCTGCATCTGTCTTTTCGGGCGGTAATAATGCCAATTTTAAAGTGCGTCTTCCGCGTGTCGTATTTCTACTCCTCTGTCTCTCTCTTTCTCTCACACTCTCGCTGCTACTTCCTCTACAAGCTTGGCCTTTCTAGCGCATTTTCATCTCTGGTTTATTGTTGAAGTTCTGAATGTTTATTTTATTTTATTTTGTTGTTTCACGAATGTCCCACTTGCAACATAGGAAACTGTCCCGAATAGAGGTACGCTCGGTGCCACATAGGGTAGTCTAAAGGTAGTCAAAATAGAGTTCTGGGTCATGCCAAGAAACGGTAAATCTTCCTCCTCTAATTTGTGCCATCCACGGCACTGAAGAATTCTTCGAATCATTGCGACTGATTTTAGGGTTACACCTTTTGCGGCTCCCGGTGCGTTTTTCTGTAATCCCAATCTTGAACAGCTGTCATGACGCACCGATCTCAGATTTTTTTTTCAAAATTTCTAAAATACTGGTGGGAGCGTTCCTTCATTTGCATATCCACGCTATTATCATAGTTTCTGCGTGCCTCTTCCGTTTCAAGTTTTAGCACGCAGCGAGAATGTTAGGGCTATCTGGCTTTTAGTTCTCAGCGAGGGAGCATGCGGACCAGGAATGTTCTTTTATATTGATGTTGGTGAGTGGAAAGAGCTTCTCTTCGTTCTTGTCACGCTCCGGATCGCCTGCGATTCCAGAACTACAATGGATTTATTTTTATTTTTATTTTTATTCTTTTTGGATAAGCAAGTCTTTATTTCAACGATAGTGACAGACGGTTTCTAATCGTTTTCCCTCTGGTTCATGAATTATCCCTAATTTGCGTTGTAGATTCCTTTAGTCTTCTTGAAATTTGGAGTGGTTTCGTAGACTGCGCAAGTGCCTGTGTCGTGATCCAGCCATACTGGTTGATCCTGTGAATGGCTGGTTTATGGAGTGGACTGGACGTTCTTTGTTTTTTCAACTTGGTGTTGTGTGCTGTAGATATTTGTATCATCCTGTTGCAGACAGTGATAGTTTGACATTGTTGTAATGGTGTGGCTACCCTTCCCCTGTGGTTTTGTTGCGTGGTTGCCGTGCACTTGTAGTCAGTGCATTGGTTTTCGTTGTTCCCCAGACTGGTCCTCAAAGCCTTCTTATTCCTGCCATGTTTATCCTTCAACAGATCTCTGCAGACCAAATCTGTGTCATCTCTCTTCTCTGTGAAGCAAATACATTATGAGGCATCCTATCAGGCATTTGCAAGGTGGGACCTTGTCTAGTGTATGCGTGGTTGGTTTGTGGTGAATTTGGGGTGTCTTGTTGTGAAGGTAGAAATCGTGAGAGTCGTCCTTGTTGGTGGCAACGTGGTGCTGCGTTTAGATGCCCTGTTAAAATGTTCTGAAGAGCAGATGTGGGCTCATGAGGAGTAGCCATGGAGATGTTTTGATGTGTTGAGAGTTGGTTTTGCACTGAGCATGGTAGCGTTGTTAGTACCGTGGCGATTAGAAATGCATACTTGTAGACGTCAGAAGTGGTAATTGGCGTTTACTAGGCAGAGAGAATTACTTTTGGAATAGAATTTTAGAAATAGGAATCTGATCTCATCCACTGTTTTTGCGTGTGCAGCGCCTAGTGTGAACGCCAAGATGACGGAGCCTTCGAAAGTGCTTCATATACGAAACGTGGGTCCTGAAGTAGCAGAGGTATACTTTATTTTGTTACTCTGTCGTTGTTGGCTGTCTTTAACCTTCTGTCTATCTGTTTATTTATGTTGGTGCTCATTAGTGCAGCTATTTATCACTATTCGTTCTTAAGTTAGACATATTACCCTTAATGAAATCAGAAATTTACTTTAATAATGTTTTCACACCGAAATACTCATTGGAACTAGGTTATAGAGTTGATTTCAAGCGGCTATGTCAAAGGTACTGGTCACCACGTGGTTGCTCATACCACTGAGTGGGTGCTGTTACCGAATATGAAACATAAAAGGTTTTTATTGTTAAACCACATCTGAACAACTCTGTTCTTTTGAGGTGCTAAGCAAAAACGCCTTTCATGGCTCTCTTTTGATTCAGAGCGACCTCCTCCAGCTTGCTCAATCGTTTGGAGTGGTGCAGAAAGTGGTTATGCTTCGTGCAAAAAATCAGGTGTGTGCTTTGGGTTATTTCCCAATGTAAACATTCAACTCTTCATACTTATGAAATCCTTGATTAGTTCATTAGTTCGTTGTGTGAGGAACGGAAACCTCACCTAGACAATTATCGTCTGATGTGTTCTCTAGATTGTGGGTCGTCTTCTTGAATAGACATGGGCTCTGGTTGTGCAGGCGTTGTTGCAGATGCAGGACGTTCCATCTGCTATTAATGTAATGCAGTATTATACTACTGTTCAACCCAGCGTACGGTAAGTTTTAGGAAATCGTCTAATTCCTGGAGTTTATCTAGCCGCTAAAACTTGAGAGTTTCGCAATGCAAGCCCAAAACTAGGCAAGAATCACATTTTCTGACTGTCTCTATGTTACCTGGGTGAGGCATTACAGGGGCAGAAACGTGTATATGCAGTTCTCATCTCATAAAGAGCTCACTACTCCCGATCAAAATGGACAAACAAGGCGGTTACCTGCAGAGCAGGTCAGTCTCGGATCTTGATCCCCATTTGTGTGTATTCCTCTGGATGCTTCTCTGTGGGTACGCGAGTCATCTTCCCAATAGACAGGCCTTAGCCTCTCTTTTGCTTGTCTTTCTTCTCTGGCTTCTCTCACCTCTTTTCCTCCTTCCTTCTTCCCATGTTGGGGAAACGTTGGACTTGTCTCTGCTTTGCTATTCTTCAGGAACTGCTGCCCAATCGAATTCTTTTAATTACCATACACAACCCGCTCTATCCTATCACCGTGGATGTGCTGCACCAAGTGTTTTCCCCTCATGGCTTTGTCGAGAAGATCGTCACCTTCACAAAGTCAGCTGGTCAGCTTCTCTTCTGTCTTGACTATCTATCTCTCTTCTGGCTTTTGTGGGCCCTTTTTTTTTTCACCATTTTTCTCTTTCTGTCGAAGGTGAACACAGGCTTATACCAGCCGTAACGAATGTAGAATGTTGTAGAATGTGTTGTGGGGCAGTGTCTTGTAGGAGCAGGCTTTGTTTGTTGAGAGAAAGGGGCGACGGTGGAGTTACAATTGTAAGTGTATTGGTGGCGAAGTCTAAAGAACTTGAGAATGTGTGGTGGAAGGCAATGGGTGTTTGTGGCGACGGTTTGTTTGAACATGAATGGGTGATGTCAATGGTAGAAGTAAGATGAGATGCGATTGTGTATGTGGTGCGGCATCGAATTACTGGGATATAAACACGTAAGATACTGTTAGCGTGAATTTGGAGTCTAATATGTTGGATGTGAAACTGTGGTGTGAAATGGTTATGATGTGCGCAGGCCTCCAAGCTTTGCTGCAGTATGCATCGCAGCCTAGTGCAGTCCAGGCCAGGACAACTTTGCAAGTGGGTGGTGCTATTTGATTCTGTGTTGATTTTATGGTTTTTTGGTATTTTGTGATGGATGTAGTGATGTGTTTGAAGGAAGGTGACGAGACATACGGTTGCGTTTGCAGGGGCGCAATATCTACGATGGGTGCTGTACGCTAGATATACAGTATTCCAAGTAAGTGCATCTAAGGTTGAGCTTAGGTGGTGTGGTGTGCGATTCACGGACTTGTTCTTTGTTGTGCACTCTTGTTTGGTGTAGAGGATATTTGAGGATATGGATTAAACGTGTGGTGATGTCTGGGACAAGAGAGGTGTGCTGAAGCGGTGTTTCAATGATGTACAGCTTGCAGGAGCTGCAGGTGAACTATAACAACGAGCGGACGAGGTATGTTCTGGGTTGGTGTTATGTCCAGTGTGACGAAGCTTGTGGGAGTGGGGCAAAGGAGGAGTTATTTGCTGTCAAACTGTAGCATGTTTCAGTAGAGATGTAGGTGCTGAGAGAGTTGAGAGTTCCAACCAAGGTGTACTGTTTGTAGGCCGTGTGTGTTTGAGTTGGTGAGTGACTAGCGGGGTCTCCTGAGTTTGTTTCCATACATCCTAAGGGATTTAATTGTCCAGTACGGGACGTTGCGTGTGGGTGGTTTGTGTTTTGGATGCGATGATGTGGAGGACGGTGGTATGAGTGTTGAATTTTTTTGTGTTATTATCCAGGGATTTCACGAACGCAGCTTTGCCGTCGGAGCAGTCGCGACCAGGGAATTCTGGGAATAATATAATGGTACTGTTAGGTTGTTTATATTTGGTCATACGTGTTTGACGTCGCATTGGTTGTGCACTTGGGTTGAGATGCTTAGAACATGTACCGTCTTACTGCATACACTCCGTTATTACCGCAATTCTTTTGACATACAATTGAGTTAAGATCGGATTGACAGAGTGGTTAAGGGTTTCAGGTGGAGCTGTTTTGCTTGCTCTTCATAAAGATAAATTACATTTTAAGAGTGGCAGGTTTTCAGTCGCATCGCTGGGTTGGGTATATATTTGTGTTGTGTTATTGATTTGTTGTATGCAGTGCAATTCCCAAGCGTGTGAATTTTAATACGTAAATTGTAGGTCGTGTATTAGTTATTGTATCTTTGCAGTTGACTGAGGGCAGCCATGTTGGGCTCTGCATGTCCAACAGGGGGTTTCATTGCTGCAGTCTTCACTCTTTGGAGAGGGTGGGCACATGTACAACATGGGGACTGGTGGGCCAAGGCCTGGTATGCTTCGCATCCTTGTCAAGGTTGGATCGCATGCGTTAATGGGTTGCGAGGGTTATTTTGTATTGACGATGCTTGTCGAGGCTGACTTGGATTTTGGTGGAGCAGGGGGATTTCAGCAGTCAGGGGGTCATCCGGCACTAGGCATGAATTCATACGGCCAGGTAGTGGGTAACGAATGCTGAGAAGCATAGAGTTAAGTTGATCGTGAGTTGGTTGTAGTTATTGCTGTGGGGGATGAGTGCTTTGGAAAATGAGGTGAATTGGAAGTATCTGATAGACGGATTATGATGGCTGTGCTGTATAGGTTGCCATGGGAGGTGCATCTGCGGCTGCTGCGGCATTTGGTGGTGTGCTTCCTCCGGGTATTACAGGCACTAACGACAGAAGCACACTGCTCGTCTCGAACCTTGTACCAGAGGTAAATCGTTCGGCACTTTAGGGGCTGTGATCATCTATCGGGTTTGGTGTGGAGTGATGAGGTGTATGTTGAGCACTCAGTACTTTAAGATAAGAGATTAGTAGGGAGGGGATGCAGGAGGTGGGAGTTTGATGAAGTTTCAGGTTTTTGAGGAAATGGAAGTTGGGGTGATTGATGTGCAGAAAATCGACGCTGACAGACTCTTCAACTTGTTTTCGAACTACGGGAATATCGTCCGTATCAAGATTCTCCATAACAAGCCAGACCATGCTCTGATCCAGATGGGAGATGGATTTCAAGCGGAGCTGGCTTTCAACTACCTGAAGGTATGTGAGTGTTTTCTGGAGCTAAATTAATTTCGTATTGAATCATTGTTTTAGTGGGAATAAGCTTTAGGGGTTTAGGTTAGTGCCGGACATACCGTGTGATATTTAGTGGAAGGTACGGTTGGTGAGATGGAAGGGTGGAGGATTTGGGGCGTGCAGGGCGTGACACTGTTCGGAAAGCGCATGGATGTCAACTTCTCGAAGCACGCGCAGATCAACCCGTCACCAGACACTAGCGATTTCTCATCGTCTCCTCTGAACCGGTTTAATCGAAATGCTGCCAAAAACTATCGGTATTGTTGTGCACCTACGAAGATGATCCATGTGTCGAGTTTGCCAGCAGATATTGCCTTGGAAGACATCACGAGTCACCTCTCTGCGCATGGGACAGTTGTGAACGCAAAGATATTTGAGTCGAACGGGAAGAAGCAGGCTTTGGTGCTGTTTGAGAGCGAGGAACAGGCAACAGAGGCGCTTGTATGCAAACATGCGACCCAACTGCAGAGCAACACCATCCGGCTTGCCTTTTCAAAGTTAGCTTCAGTGTAGTTGTAATTTAGCGTAGTTTAGTTGATGGGTAGGCATCGTAGAGCTTTGGGCACAATTTTGTAGTTTGGAAGAGTATCTGCGAAATCGGTTACGTATGATTGTAATTGAATGACATATACTGTAATGACCTATTGTATGCGAATAGGATTGAGCAACAGGAGATGGTCCTTCCGTCTTCCATGCCTGCTGAGACAGTTTTGTCAATGTATAGCCATCCCACCTGCTTTCGCTCTTCTGGTTACTGTTTTCGACATCTTCTGTTGCATGGAGTTGTTTTGCAATTTCGTGGTGATCTTATTTGTGGTGCATCGAATTTTTGCTTTGTGATGGAGCTTTGCTTGTGTGTGGTATTACTCTGATTTCTATGTGTTTGCGTGGTTCGTTTGTGGATATCAAGCTTGTCACGTGATTCCTGTTTTATTACAGGTTTGATTTGAGTCGACATGTCAATCATATTTTACTATTGTCGACTGTACAAGAACCGTTTTCTGCTTGAAGTCACGAACACTATTGCATGGTCAGTGTGCCAAAAACAAAACAAAAAAGCAGTGTCTCAAAATCACATCCAAACAATACGGCTTCAAATTGAATTGTGGTATATTTGGCAGTTTTAAACAGTAAGGGATTCAATCAAGCGCTGCTATTTGTGAACTGGATTGTATGCTGGTTAACTAACAGAACAACAAGTATGTTTCATGTCTAGTTCCCTTAAAAAGAAAATAACTTACTAAATTGAAGGTTGGATATTATTTAATTTATTGAAGTGAGTGTCTTATTTAGTAAGAATGAAAATCTAAATTATTTGATGGAGAACCACGGGCATACCATATGTCTTCAGAAGATAGTAATTAAGATGGAACAAAGTTGCCAGTAAAAATATTATTATTTTTTAAATAATTGGATGCCAAGGATTATTTTTATCAGTTGAGTAATTTTAAAAATGAACATTTGTTGAGGTAATGCTGCCTTTAAACAGTGTGGATGACAGAATGGTTCAAAAGTTTTAAGTCTCCGAATAACCTCGTTACTTAAACGTTTATCCACAAAGCAAGTAAGATATATATATATATATATATATATATATATTAACAGTTTGGCAACAACCAAATAATGAAAGGATAAGTGCTTGAATTATTTGGGATCTGAATGCAAAAAAATGGTTCATGAAAGATTTTGATTTCTTAACATATGAAGCATGTGATTAATTGATTTTGATTATTTTATTTTATTTTTGTATATGTATAGAAAATAAAATGTCAGAGAATTCTTTAAGTTTAACAATAAATAAATAAATAAATATATATATATATATATATATATATATATTGATATATGTGTGTGTGTGTGTGTGTGTGTGTATATATTCAAAAAGAAATGTAAACAGATAATTGTATTAAGAAATTCCATGAATAAAAAACATTACAAAGTATTTGGATGTATGAGACTCTTAATGGACATAAACAAGGATGGGTTGTTAAAGAAAAATTATATGCTTAAATAAATAGCTATTACAAAATAAGATTTTGAAGTCATAAAATTGTAAGATTTTTGTAAACATTATGTTTCAAGTCCTGATTATTTTATTTTTTTATTTTTAATTTCATTTCTCAATACTTTATACTTTAGAATTTTGTCGATAAGATTTGGGAGGATGTTTTTATTAGAAACTACTTACTTTGCTTAAAACTGAATACCTGACTGAATTGGCCTTATTTATTTATTTTTATAATTATGAGATCTGTTATAGATATTTAGTATATCTATAATAATATTAATTATAAAAATAAGAAGGCTCTATATGATTAAAAAATAAATTTTCCACTGAATGGTAGATTGATTTATAATTTAAAAGTAACGTGAACACAAATATTTAGATGGAATTACGAGAAATAAAAAACTGTCCTAAGATATCTTATAAATTTACTTTTTTAATAAAAAAGGTGTTGGAATTTCTATTGATGTTAGCATCTATTTTTGTAAAAAATATCATATCACCAATCTTACACATTTCAAATTCATGCACATTTAGGTTTCAACCAAACTTGAGTATTTTCATTCAAAAAGAAGAGAAAGTAAGGAGAAAGAAGATAATCGGAACAACAAGCTTGACATTCGTCCCATAACATAGACCAAACTATCACCATACTCAAAATCATTAAAAATAGCATCCATATAATTCTAACAAACCACACACTTATATCAACTGATTTCAAACATATGGCAACAACCTTGGATAAGTCAAATGCTCAAAAATAAATAAATAAATAAATAAATCTAGAGATTACTTTTACCCTTCAAACAACCCATTTCACGAATTTCACACACATCCCACCAACGTTTAAAAATTAGTCTCCTCATAAATATGAGAAAACTAAATCCTAAACCCTAAACCTGTAACGGAAATCTAACTAGGGTGTAGTTAGCAGTAGAATCTAGGAAATGCGAACAATGATGGACTCGATGGAGTAGTTGGCTTTGAACTGAAGCGCCGCTCGTGGCTGCTCAAGCAGGCAATCGAGATCCATTGCCGCGAGTTTCTTCATTCGTGACACAATGCTTCGTATCGTGGAAGCTTGGTTACACAGCTTCTATCTGGCCTGTGAAGAACCACCCTTTATGGCTGCGTTGATCAGGGGTTGGTTATTCCTAGTTCACGCTGAGTCCAGTTCACGCGGCCGTGACCGGACTATGCGATTGGCGCGACCACGTTCCATGTTCACGGCCTCCGTGTTCGTTAGAGCGCGACCCAAACTTCAAGGTGCAGTATACACTACGGGTTGCAATGATTGCGAGGCGAATCCGGAGGTGTGACCGTGGGAAGGTACTTCCCGTGCGGGTCCAGCCGGTGAGGGAGTGTTGTCAATCCCGTGACGGGCTTATTGGGATGTTTGTCATTCCAGAATCGCGGGTGGGAGATTCGCGGATGAGATTTGTGGGCGTGTGTTGTGTTGGGGGATGATGTTCGGCATGAGTCTGCCTTAAGTTACTGATTAAGGAGAGCGAATCTTTCAAAAATTCTGATTCAAGTTTGGAACGGTATGGAAATAACCCAGACACCGTGTATTAACGAAGACGATAGCTGAATTGGGGACCTCCATGTGTCGGTTGATCGCAACAAATGAGGGATTTCAGCAGGGTGTTGTGTAATCTTTTCCCGCTCACTGTTTAAGATTCAGCAATTCTTTTTAGCACACCTTCGTCTTCCGGTGTAATCCATCGTTCTTCAAGTTCGGTGCGAACTGGGCCATAGATCTTTAGCTCTATATATGTGATTAAGCAAACATAAAGAAATCTTGCTTTTCAGGAGTTCTAAATAAGGAGTCCAGCATTGTTGACTTTACTATTAGACTGGGTTGAAGAAGCTCGTCTAATACCGTGGCTTGCCTGCCTCATAAAACGTCCTCCTGTCAGAATGCAAACGTATTGAAACCCAACAGATTCACAACATTATCTATTTCGAGCTACCCGCTGAGTGAGGAGATCTGCGCCAAGTCACCTGTCCCGGCTGCGGTGGTGCATATGAGCCCTCCCAGCGGTGCAGGGAGTGTTGCAACTTCGCTCAGGAGACTCCAGTGCCGAGCACTGAGCCCGGAGCCTTTTGGGTCTGTCGCAGCTTGAGTACCTCGCCAATCTACCACCAGACCTTGTGCGTTGTACTTAAGTTCGGTTTGCGACTCCGGGGGGAACGAGTTTTTCTACAGGCATTTGCAATCCAGTTTCAAAGGTTTTCTGGTTGGCTTCATTGCCCCTTACATGTTAGTGACCATTTTGGCCTCGAATTTGCTTTCCATCTCCCGAGTTCCTGTATTGCTACTACTAGTTTTGCGAGTAACATCAACGGTTTCGCATTCTGCAGCCAGCGATCAGTTAGAAGTTCATAACTGTGCTGTCGTCTGATAGACTTTGGATTCACAATCTTTTCAGATTTCTGTACCTTTGAAATTTATCCAAACTCACATCGATTGTACAATGCATTGATTTTATGTGCTTTTATTATGCTGTGCAGTTATTCATATTTGAAAAAATCAAGAAAAGTTAACACCAAAAAAAAACTACAATATTTAAAGGTGTTTGGAGCAGTGGGGACTTAATCTCATATTTAGCTTCTTACAGAGATTTCGTAGTCATGGCAAAAACACATATAGTTATGTTGGTGGCAGTGATCTTCCTGGCTACGGTCCTTTCAGCTGAATCCTGGGAAGAGAAATGTCCTGGGGATCCTGGCTACGTTGAAACGTGGACTAAGAACTTCTGGAGTTTGTTTAATATCTTTACCAACGAAGAGCACGTTCGCGTTGGACAAAATGGCGATTACGTCCAGATGCAACTTGATGAACAATGTGCTGCGGTTTACGGATCTAGGCACCAGTACTACACCGGACGAATGAGCGTCAAACTCAAGCTGCCATGCGGCAACTCATCTGGAACTGTCTTTGCGTTCTATGTAAGTTCCGCACAATCTTCAGATTTACGACCGCCTTCTCCCTATTCTAGCAATTTCGTCCTTGGCAAGATAAAATCTAGCTCACACCATGGTCGACTTTGAACTTTGATGCAGACCTCATCGGACGGGAAGAAACCTTATCACGATGAGATTGACATTGAATTGCTTGGCAATGAAACCTCGTCATGTATCACCATGCAGACCAACATATTCGTCAATGGTAAGGGAGACAGGGAGATGCGTCACAACTTGAACTGGTTCAACCCTTGCGACGATTACCACGAATACTACATTCTCTGGAATTCGGCAATGGTTGTGTAAGTTTCCATCGTCAGTCGTTTGGGTTGAGATTTGTGGGTCACTTGGTGCACCTGTTGTCGATGTGCTCAATTGTTAACAATATTTCGTCATGGAAAATCAGGATCGGAGTGGACGACATCCCCATCCGCGTGTTCAAAAACAACGAGCAGTATGGTCTCCCATACTTTAACAAAGGACAAGGATTGTACGTCTCTTACTGGGATGGTAGCAGTTGGGCAACACAGGGTGGACGCATCAAAATCGACTTCGCTTTGAACGGTCCCTTCGTCGCCCATATGCATAGCTTCCATGACCTGCAAGGTTGCCAGGTACCTTCTGAGGACAACATATGGCAATGCCAATACCCAGCTCAGAGACCTTGCTGGGACCGACCCTGGGTCAACCATTACTTGACTCAACAGCAAATATGGGACTACAATTGGGTGAATGGAGAATTCTGCACCTACGACTACTGCAAGGACGTCGCACGCTTTGCTGCTACCGGAAAGCCCGCCGAGTGTAACCTTCCCCGGTACTAGGCCCTAGTTGAGCATCTCTAGGTGCTTCTTTTGTAATTTCTAGGCAGTGTAGACCAAAGAAGAAGCTGCTGAACTTTCGCATGCCTTGGCTGTGCAATTCATTACCATCTTCGTGCTCCTGAAGTAGTCGAGACTTGGATTACAAACTCTTTGCCCCAAGCTCCATTTGCTTGTGAGGTTGTATCTACTTACTTCAATGTAATCAACTGATGTAATGAACTTACTCAATATCTGGTAAGTGATCGATCATATTTACGGGTATGATTTTGAAACGTGTTCTGGCTTATAGCTGAAAATGTAACAACACTTCTGGTTAGGTCTCAACAGATCGAATTCCTGGGCGATGCAATGCTACATATCATCTTCTGATCCAGGTAGTGATGTGGGCACGGCCCACAGTTGAGACAATTTTGCAATGTCCGTATCTTGTCACACTTTCCGTTCATGATGTTGATCTGACGGCAAGCACCTTGGATCCCACAGGAAGACTTTCAGGGAATCTGTGCTCGATCAGTGCCGTGGCAGCCATTGTGCGGAGATGATCTAGATCGCAACTCCGGAAGCTTGATGGGCTGCACCGTTAAAGATGATCGCGGACAATGGGATGGCCGAGGGAAGCGTGGTTCCTAGTCAATCGATCAACATAATTCGATGATGTTGCTCTTCTCTGGCGCTAAGAGAGCAACATCATCGTTATTTATTACGTCGTGTTGATCGGGTGGTTTGACGGTTTGCTGCCCTTTCAAACTAATGCCGTGGCCTAGTTTTCTGCTGACACTCTCTCTACCGACTTTTTGTCTGCTCATTTGAATCTGGAAGCCGATTCATAAACTTGTAAATTGCTTGATGTGCATAAATGTTAAGAATAATATCATAAGAGTTCTTCCTTAAAGGTTTTAATTTTTTTAAGATTATAACTTTTCAAACATTAATCTGCACAAATTTGAATTGACAAATTGAACTAACACAGGTTTAGTCAGTAGTTATTATTAAAATTTTAGAATAAAACATTTAACATCCGCACATGACTGCTGTTGATCATTGAACTCACAAAAGAACAAAAATAATATCGTGGTCAACTAAGAATTAATTGATTGTATGGTGTACATTAAATAATGTATTTGGTGTATTTTTTTTTTGTACCAACAGGAGTTCATTGTCATCTTTAGTTTTTCTTTTATGAAAGGTGTTTTTATAAGGGAATTAGCACAAAAATGATTTAATTTAAATTTTTTATCAAATCATTTTTCTTAAATTGCTAATTAAGAGTTCCAAATCAAAATAGCTAAGAAAGAATATGATTAAAATAAATTCAATCACAGCATGATGATTGAAAATGTAATACATATTAATTTTATATTTTAATTAGTGTAAAGTTTTATTCTTGTGTTAGGATTTATCATGTGAGATTATAAATTTTTTAGTTAAATTCAAATACTTTCAAAATTTGAAAGAAATTTTGATTGAATGCAATTTTAATTTAATTTTTTTAATATTCAAAATAAAATAATAATGTGTATTCTAAGTTTGAGTTTTATTATTACTGACATCTACATAATAATAATAATAATAATAATAATAATAAATGTATCTATGGATTTATTGTGCAAAAATGCATATATAAATTTATTGTGTAATAATTAAAAATGTATATACATGAATAACATAAATTTAGTTACTAAATTTATAATTAATATGCATTGAACTCTTATCAATAAATAAAATAATTATTCTAAATATAAGATTAAAAAAATTTGTAGTTTTATATTTTTTTCATGTAAATTTTTTAGATTCTTTATTTAAAATTTATATCAGATTTGATTATCAATTCAATAAATGAATGTGTTTTTGTGGTCTGTTACAATCATAAATTTTGAAACATGAAATTGAAATTACTGTAAATATCAATTTTATAGAATTTATTTGTTGTTGTTGTTGTTGTTGTTGTTGTTTTTTTTTTTTTTTTTTTTTTTTTTCTGTTTTTTGTTGGTTTCGAAGCTTAATGTGTTTTTTATCATCAAAAAGTGAAAATAAGCAATATTTTCTTTTAAAATTCATATGATTATAGATTTAAACATCTTCCATAGTGCTTTATTGGTATTATTAATGTTGTACAACATTGGAAGACTTGAATATATTCTGTTTAATCAATCAAATATTCCATTTCATACATAACCATTAAAATTTCCTAATGAGAATCCTAGAAAGAATGTGATGTGAGTTAAAATCATGCGATAGAATTGTGATAGAGTATTCAAATTTGAAATTTACGATTAATATATTAAATCATTACCTTAGAAGATTATTATTACAATTAATAATAATAATAATATTATTATTATGAGTCACTACTCAGCTGAATTTTGAAATTGGCTCCGACAGCGACGAGCACAATTCCCACCGCTGCTTTTTCCCGCGCCTCGTCACCAAGTCGGAGATGTTTTCTGGCCCACATGGGCGGATGGGCCTATCACCGTCCTCGGCATCGGTCTCTTGTTGTCACACCATTTGAAAAGCGTCCACGGTAATAGGCCCCGTAATGCTCAGCCTTCAACCGAAATAAATATTAGCATTGGAAGGCAGCGTCTGTGCTGTGAGTATAGGCAGCTTCGGCATGTCTGATCCTGGGGCTTCAGTTTGTCGTTGGACCTGCATGTTTTGCGTAACTTCATGAGGCTGGATTCATTATTTATGAGGTTAAGTGCTCCGCGGTTGTTGATCTAAGTGTTGAGTGTTGGTTTGGAGTCTTTCAAGACATTTTAGGAAAAAAATTGAGGGAGCTCTTTGAGGTGAGCATGATGTAGGGAACTGGATGCTGTTGCATAAGAGGAAGTTTGATGCATTTATGAAGATTTATCGTTGTTTGGTTCGGTTTGTGGTATAGAGTGGGGCTGTGTTAGTTGCTGTGTGGATCGGCGGAGATTTGTGGAGCTATTTGTTATCTTTTCATCTAGATGCATATGTTGCTAATGTGTTTGAGTCATGACAGGGGAGTTGTGCGTTTAGGATTTGATCCGTGTGGCAGAGTTTGATTTTAAGTGATTAGCTCAGTAAAGGGAATCGAGTTGGAGGTGTGAAGCATTTTATTGGACAACACGGTTTGCAGAAGCTTGTTTTTGCGAGTTGTTTGTACACCAGCAATGCAAGTATTATGCTTACCTGGAATATTTTCAACAGCACTTCTATCGCATGCAATTACTATCGATCACGAAAACTCAAGGAGTTGTGCATTGAGACCTTGGGGATTAAAGTCTTCAATACCTTGCCAGAGACATGCGAACCTCTCGAGAAAAACTTCCGTGTCCCTGATTCCTCTTTCTAACACATGCAATGCCGTCTAAGTGGAGAACCCCATACCTGCTGGCCTGAGTACCTCCCGAGCTGCCTTGGAAGGTTCTTTTGGAACTTTTGCTGCTGTGGGAAGAGTGGAATGCAACAGTCGCGGATGCCGGCCTATATTAGACGATGTCTCGGAGCTGGAAACCTTGCCGGATGGCTGGTTAGTGCAGGAAGACGCCTTTGAGGTTTTGAAGTCTCGCACTGCGCTATACTATAGCAGGAGCAGAAATGTAGATCTTGGAACGAACACGCACTTCCCAAAAGACTTTGCTGATTTTCTGAACGAGATGTAGATGGAGAAAGGTGCTGCCGAGAAGTACTTCGAATTTGCAGTGCGAGCAAACTCACTTGACTGCAAGTTGCTCTGTGAGTATGCATCCTTCTCCTGGAAAACACGTAAAGATGCCGACAAAGCCGAGGAACTGTACAAACAAGCGTTAGAAGCGGCGCCCGACGATCCCCACATTGTAGCAAGGTACTGCTTATTTTTGTGGCAAAGCCTTCTGTCTCAAGTGACTTATGTGGTTGTTATAAAGGAGCAGCAGTATATCCGCACTTAACGTCGTATTGTGCAGATTTCAAGCTCTGTTTCATGAAGAGGACCATCTAATGATTTACAAACTCTGAGGAATGTGCGAAACTAGGTCCTCTGTAGCATTATCATTTGAGAAATATCTTGGTCATAGTACCGACTGCAATTGAAATCAGCTTTTTATTTCCTTGTGTGCGGATAACTACCGTTCTGTCCGTGAATGACCAGGTTTACTGCAAAGATGATGTGAGTATGCAACCGAGTTTGAAGAATCATTCTCTTGGGCCTAGTGAAGGCTGGCATATAGATTCTCCATCCAGGTACTCTTTCTATTTTCACTGCCCAATTGTATGTTTTTCCGAGTTTTAATTTTAATCATTTAAAAAGAGATATGTATTTTTTAAAAAATTTATTTATTTATTCATTGTGAAATGGAAACGGTCAGTTGAATGATGTTAAAAGAAAGCACAATCGTCATAAAATAAATATTTATATTTTTAGGTGTATCACAGTCGAAGTAACTATATACAGGTGTTTGATAACTTTGTTACCAAACTGGACATATGGTTATAACTGTAATATTAAATATAATTTCTTTCATAATATAATTTTCTTTTTAAACTTATAAAATTTGAACATGTAAAAAATAGTATTTTTGAAAATTTTAAATAAAAATAAAAAATAAATCACAAAGAAAAAAAGGAAATACTATTTTTCAAAACCAATATCATTTTCATAATGAAAGATTTCAAAACATATAATTTATTTCTATGTTGGATCAAAACATCAAAAACATAATATTTAACTATATTTACTAAAAGAGATAAACTAATTATAAATTATTTTAATTAATAATAAATTTTATCATTAATAATTTTATTATATTTATTTTTTAAAAAATAAAAATTATATTATGGAAAAAATCTATCTAGGATTGTAGTTGATTACGGATAAAGGTTAAAATATCATAGAAAATAAGAATTAATCATTATTACTAATTTACCATGGTTTCATTAAATGACTAATATAAATAAATTACTAATGTGGATGGTTGTTAAAAGAGTATTTATATTTGGAAGAGAAAAGAGGAAGGTATATTTTTTAAATTTGAGAAGCCTCATTAAATTGGCTTTGTATTTAGAATGATTAGTTCAAATTTGCAAGATAAAAGATAAGGTCAAATTTACTATTGTTTACATGGCATGAAAAGAGTTTTTTCTTGAATTTTTTGCAAGTCTACCATAAGAGGTAGTTGTTTAGAATTTTTAAAAATCTAAGTTAATTTATTTAAAAAAATGTTTTAAAAATTAGAATATTTATCATGATTTTTATGGATAAACTATAAAATAAGTTTCTTTTAATTTATAATAAAATAATT